CGCAACAATTTGTATCGCAATGAGTTCCATCATGCATTCTTTCCCGGTTATCCTTCTCTGATTCAACTAATCCGAGACAACATTTTTAGATTCTACACAAATATCTCCGATGCTTTCTTGACAATTATTGTTGGGATCATTGTTTCCAATTTATCATTTATTCTAGCATCGATTTCTATCTATTATTTCACTTTCTTACTCATTCTTCAAATCCAGAAATACTCCATCAATGGAGTTCGCGAATCTCCTGCATTTCTCTACAACACCATCCTTCGTTGTGATCCTCATAAAGCTTCTCGTTTTGCGTCATTCTTCTTCATATTTTCCCCTTCGAATGTTTTCATGTCTTCATTTTATACTGAGAGCCTTTTCTCTTTCGTCACTATCTTCGCATTCATTCTTCTCCTTTGCTGCGAAATCTCTCTCAACCAGTCGAAATCCCTTCCTCAGTCGAAATCCCTTCCTCTTGGGATAAAACGCATCATCATTCTAATTCGACAATCCTCCATCATTTACGCATTTCTTTATTTTTCATCTATCTGTCTGCTTGCGTTCTCAACATTCACCAGAAGCAACGGAACTCTTTCTCTTGCGCCATTATTCTTTTTCATCCTTCGGACATCTCCGTCTATCAATCTTCTCTCAATTCGATCACCATCCAAAGTCTTTCGTTTTTGTCTCCATTGGTTGGTCGCTCTAGCATCTGCAATTACAATCGTATTCCCACTTTTATCAATTCTTGGTTTCGCATTCCAACTCTATTGTACTCCTTCGCTTGAATCCCAACATGAAGGACCCTTAACGAGTCTTCTTTCCCATTTCTTCCATAATGGCTTTCTCTTCACGAAAGCATCCCTTTCAAAATCTGTTTCTTCCTCTTCTCTTCGTCCTTGGTGTACGACGACATTCCCAAGTGTCTACAAGTATATTCAATCCCATTATTGGAATGTCCGACCTTTTGCTTATTGGTCCTTTTCAAAGTCCGACCGATTTCTCTACTCTCTCCCCTTTTACTTCATGGCATTCTGCTTTATTTGTTTTTCTTTTCTCCTTAACTCTCCTATTCGTCTCTTGCATGCTCCTCATTTTGGATACGCATGTCAACTTGCTGTGGTCACGCTTTATATGGGATGTATTGCCAACGTGGAAGTGAGCCTCACATATTCGCGATTTCATCCCCTCGATGTCTCTCAGGTTCTGATTCGCATGCTTTCTGGCTGTCCTTTGTTTTATTCGGCATTGGGATTTTTTTTTTCTTCATCGCTCAGAAAAAAAAATCATTTTGTGGATCTCTATTTGTTTTTTCACGCTTTCTGCTTTTTCGTTGGACCGCCATTCTTCGCAATTTGGATGACTTGGACCTAAAACTCCTAGAGCAAGGACTTTTCGACGACACACAGACACAATGGCTTTAGTGCTGAACCTGCTTAGGGACAGATCTGGCCCTAAGCGTTGCATCTGTTTAGCGGGAGAGAAGAATCTCTACTTGAACGATTCTTTTTGGGAATTTTTAGAAAGTATTATGGAAGACGGATCGAAGCCAGGACCGCCTCCTTCAAAAAAATCAGGTCAATAACGCTTCATTGCTACCTTCCCATAGAAACCTTGATGCAGGCGGGAAAGCCCCGCCAAAGGGCGGACCACCTGGAGGAAAGGCAAGCGCGAAGAAGGCGCCTCCCCCAATGAAGGGGCCTCCGAAAGCTTTAGGTCCTCCCGCAAAGGTGAACATGAGCACTTGAGAACCATGCAATCCTAGACGTCAGGCTGGACCCTCCATTATTGGGCGCAAATTGCACTGGGATGCGCTTCAAGGGAAAGGCATCGAGGGAACAGTGTTCCAGGAATGTAGGATAGTGAGCATTGTATAATTTGCTCATGGTACCTTCCAGTAACTGCTGATGTCATCATGGCTGATGATGTTGCGACGATGTTTGACGTCGAATCAATGAAAAGAATATTTGCAGGTGCAAAAAGAGAAGGTAGGCAAAGATGATTCGTGTTTCGAACAAAAAAACCGCACTTTGTAGCGCGAGGGAGCCGTCGTGGAACTATCGTTGCTGAAGATTTGAGCCGAAAAATTATTGCAGGGGAGTAGAGCGCAAAACGTAGCCATTGTACTGTCAAGATTGAAGTTTCCTGCTGAAGAAATAGCGGAGAAAATTGACACACTTGATGCAAATGGTTTGGATAGAGAAACTCTGGAGCGTGTTCTGGATGTAAGAAACTCCAGAAAAAAAAAAGAATGGTAATTTTGCAGGTGGCTCCATCACCGGAAGAACTCCAAGAATATGAAAAGTTTGTCAGAGAGAAGGAAGAGTTTGAAACCCTACGGGATATAGAGAAAAAATACTGGCCGCTGTTTAAAGTTGCCAGGTAGGGGATTTGACTGAGAACTTTGTAGACTGCTTTGCGCTGCAGGATAAGGGAAAAGTGCCGAATTCTGTTGACGAGTACAAAAGTTCCGGAAATCGTTTCCGAGTTGAAAGTTGCGCTCGATGTCCTGCATGAAGGAGGAAGAGAGGTGAGTATGCCAACGAAATCGAGAAACTTTATTGTTTGATGGGTAGGTGCGAAAAAGTCAAAAATTTCGATCCCTTCTGGTTGCCGTCTTATTGTGGGGGAATTTCGTAAATCATGGCGTTTCGGAGGAACCTCCCAAGCCTGAAAAAGGTGAGAGATCGACTTGTTATTGGTGCATTTATGTCTGATTTAGAAGAAAAAGAAGATCAATTTGGTCGTCGGAGACGCCGCGCTGGAACTGCAGGGTTGGAGATTCGAACATTCGGATTCACGCTGCCCTCATTGCTCAAATTAGCAGAATTTCGGACAACTTTTGATCCGTCAATCACCTCGCTCCATTTTATTATTGCAAATATGGTTAGCGACCATAGTTCTTGTGATTTTTTGCTACTCTTGTGTTTTAATAAGATTCTTTTTCTCAGATCTCCTCTCAACCAAAAGTCGAACTCCATCTCATGTGCGATGAAATGCCTTCCATTTCGGGTGCAGCAAAATTGACTGCTGCATCACTCAAGGATCTTTTATCCAACGTTCAAGAGGTACACAATTTTGATTGTACTCCAGTTTAATTGATTTAATCAGGGAATAAAGTTTCTTGAAGGGGAGCTAAAACTGAAAAACGTCCAAGAAGTCTACGGAGATGGAATGCAATCCATGACGAAACTTCATTCTTCCTCGTCAAAACTTTACGAGGAGATTAAAGTGAGAGATGCAACGGACTTCAAAAAGACGTTTTTTGCTTCTTCAGGGGAAATACGACTTTGTGACTGAATTCGTTGGCGAAACTGCCGCTTATTTCGGTGACGCGGCGGCAAAAACGAAACCAGAGGCACACGAGGAATTTTTCAAGACACTTGCACTTTTTCTATCGCGATTTCAAGCATGCGTCAATGACTACATGAAAAATACGAAGAAATTTCAGGATATATTAGTGAAAAGCGCCCAAGATAAAGGTCTCACTTATACTGAAGAGCCAGGTAATGAAAACAAGCAGTCATGCCACATCGTTCGGTGCAGGACAATCACCCGGTTCTGATGTCCCAGTCCCAAAAGCAAAGGCTCCCCCTAAGCGGAATATCGAAGACCCTAAAGGTTTCGTTGAGAGAGCGATGAAACGACGAGCGAGCGTGGGAGCGCCCCCTCAAAATAATGTGGTTGTGCCCTGCAGAGTCGCTGCAGCCAAAGTCCCCTCACCAAGTGAGGCGAACAGAAAGTTGATGAGTGACGTTTTTTTTGTATGCAGAAGCTCCAAAGGCTCCTATCCCGTTCAAGAGACAAACAATGAGACGGTCCACGGCAGTTGGCGCATTTTATGGTCTTGGAGGAGCACCGAAAGCACCGATTGATACCCCGACCAATTCTGCAAAGAACTCGGCTCCGTTGTCTAGTAATAGTGATACCGAAATTGAACGAAGGTGAGAGAATGGTTCATGAATGGAAGACGTTGTTTGCGTTGTAGAGCGAGTCGTGACTTTGTTGTGCGAGCTGAAGCAGATGGAATGAGATCTGATGGTGACGAAACGCACCTTCATAAAAGACCGTCAAAAAAACACCAAATAGACCGAAAAGTGGGTGAAGCTGAGAAAAACTACTCTGATGATTAAATTATTGTGATAGAAATGATGCGACGTATCGGGGATTAGGAAATCTTATTAGGGGATTAAGCGAAGAAAATGGAAAGCCTTTTGACCGAAAGAGAGGAAAGTGTCACACCAAAGTTGTCGATAGAGCGCTTGAATTGGCGCTAGAGGCTTATATGAGATCCGAGTCCCAAACAGAATCTCTCCATTGATAATTTAGAAACGCCACCCTTCATTTCTGGAGGCTTCACTCCAATCAAAGGGTTTTTCCTTTTTTTCTCTTTGTAATTTTTTCATCTCTTGGATGTTCTGCAATTCTTCAGTTTGTCTTTTCTTAACGTCTTTGAAAGTGAGCGGCCTCCGTACGGCCGTCTTAGGTTGTGTGGGACAGAACTGTCTTGGCCATGTATTATTGTCTTCCCAGCAGCGTGGTAACTTTCTTCTGTAACTTGGCTCACCTGGCTGACGTCGTAAATCTTGAAAATATCGTGTTACGGTTTTCATTGGGATTCGTTCCAACTCTGAATAAACAAACTTCAGAGAACAACATTCTAATCATTTCTCACTCAATTCTTTTGGTTTTGGTTTCCATTTTTGTTTAATCCACGACTGGATTCTTGCAGCTGATGGCATTCCTTATAACGAATCGTCAGATGCCGAGAGTCCCAATTGTTTGAATCCGAGTTCAAAACAAAACACTGCAAAGTTGAAAAATCAATAGACTGATGAGATGAGACTATAATAAAACTAATTTTCAAATCTATTGATCGTTAGTTGTGAAAAAATTGATTCTCTTGGACATGAAGAAGCGTTTATTGAACACAACAATGTGGTAAAAACAATTTAACAGAAACCAGAAGCTCTTTGAAATAACCATTTAAAAATGATCACTTAATTTTTTTATCCCTCAAACACCCCTTCTTCATCACCCTCTTCACCTTGCGTTTCGATTCCCACCTCCTCGTAATCTTTCTCTAATGCTGCTAAGTCTTCTCTTGCTTCGCTGAACTCCCCTTCTTCCATACCTTCACCGACATACCAATGCACAAATGCGCGCTTAGCGTACATCAAATCAAACTTGTGATCCATGCGGCTGAAAACTTCAGCAATCGCTGTAGAGTTCGATATCATGCAAACAGCGCGCATGACTTTCGCAAGGTCTCCACCAGGGACGACGGTTGGGGGCTGATAGTTAATGCCGCATTTGAAACCAGTCGGGCACCAATCAACAAATTGAATTGTCCGCTTTGTTTTGATGGTGGCAACTGCTGCATTCACATCCTTTGGAACGACGTCACCGCGGTACATCAAACAGCATGCCATATACTTCCCATGACGTGGGTCACATTTCGCCATCATATTCGTTGGTTGAAATGCAGCTGTTGTGATTTCTGCTACGGAGAGTTGTTCATGATAAGCTTTTTCAGCGGAAATAATTGGAGCATAGGAGGACAGCATGAAGTGAATGCGAGGATATGGCACAAGATTTGTTTGGAATTCCGTCACATCAACATTGAGCGCACCATCAAACCGCAGTGATGCTGTGAGAGATGAAATGACTTGTCCGATCAAACGATTCAAATTTGTGTAAGTTGGGCGCTCAATATCTAAATTACGATTACAGATGTCATAAATCGCTTCATTATCCAACATCACTGCAACATCAGTATGCTCCAATAGGGAATGTGTTGAGAGAACTGAATTGTAGGGCTCGACGACGGATGTTGCAACTTGAGGGGAGGGCCAGGTACAAAAATTGAGCTTTGATTTCTTCCCATAATCGACAGAGAGTCGCTCTAGCAATAAACAACCCAAACCACTCCCCGTTCCACCTCCAACAGCGTTGAACATCAAGAATCCTTGAAGGCCAGTACAAGCATCTGCGAGCTTTCTGATGCGATCCAAGCACAAATCAACGATCTCCTTTCCGATTGTGTAGTGACCTCGTGCGAAATTATTCGCTGCATCTTCTTTGCCCGCCAGAAGCTGTTCTGGATGAAACAACTGACGGTATGTTCCTGATCTCACTTCATCAATAACTGTTGGCTCCAGATCGACAAACACGCAACGTGGAACGTGTTTACCAGCACCGGTTTCTGAGAAAAACGTGTTGAACGAGTCGTCTGCGGCTGTGTCTCCGGAACGCATCTGGCCGTCTGGCTGAATTCCGTGCTCCAAGCAGAATAACTCCCAGCATGCATTTCCAATTTGGATACCCGCTTGACCGACATGGATGCTGATGACTTCTCTCATTTTTTAGAAAAATCGAATTCACCAATTTGATCGCGAATAAACTGCTGAAACGAAAACTATTTATGTGAGGAGGTGCTTGTTTGAGTGACACTTGTTTGCTTCAGTTCGTTGAATATGTGGAGCCACGTAAAGGTACAACAGTAGAGCACTACTCCAATTCGAATATTGATGCAGAAATTATGAAAATTCAACAATAATAAGAAGTTGTCAAGAACCCACTGATGAATAAAAGGACTCTGGCCTCTGCTCCTGCAAACAGATTGTTATGCTCGACGTGTGTATGTGTTTGTTTACTGTGGGACTTTACAAGTTCGTTGCAAGTTGAGAAAAAAGCTAAACTAAGGAGGGAAAAACAATCCAGAAAATTCAAATTGGCGCACAAACAAAACTTAGTGTACTTCTTCGGGGACACCAAATGCACCTTCGCCTCTGGTGCGTTTTGTAGTCTTTTGTAGACGAACCCTGAATTAGATGCAATTCGCTTTAATGGGGCCTCCGCCACACAGTTCACCGGATGTGAAACTAAGGAACATTGAACGCTTCATTGTGGCTGCAGCACCAACATCTCCTCGGTAGAACAAGTCAATCTGGAATGTGAAAATGAATACCGCGCAGAAATGCGGAAGTGGCGTGCAGGAATGAAGTCGGATCGGAAACAAGGAACCTTGAACTATTGAAATGCTATTTTGAATCGCATATCAAGCTTCGACAACTTTGTTAAAATGGAAATCGCATTTTTCAAATATAGGGAAGATGCATATTCTTTAAAAAATTTGGCCTCTTTGTCGAGCACGTTACAATTTGTCTGTCAATTCGAACCTCTTTTAACAATTCGACATCTAACCTCTTCAACCTTCTAGCAATAGATGAGAACGGGATTGAAAGCAGAAATGACAAGAATGAAACTTGTTGGAAATGAAGTGTTCTAATTAGCTGGGGCTAGAATAACTGGTTTTGCTTGGCAAATGCGACACCTCGTGAAATCATGACCATCCACAACAGACACACCAGGTTCTCCACCTTTCGTCTTTCGTTGTTTTTGCTCGGACGCTTTTTGTTGAGTAGCGGGAGATGGCGCAAGATCTGCTGTGTCCTCATCCTCTTTCCCATCGTGTCTATCCGCATGATGACAACATTTGAAGCGTCTTGATGATGATTGTTTGCTGAGTTCTTGTGCGATGAATTCAAGAGGTAAAGCAGGAGCAGAGTCACACGATGATGAAGCAAACCATTGGGTGTGTGTTTGAGTGTATCTTTTCGTCAATCGTTTCCAACATCGCAGTGAAGCAGAAGTCGTAAAGGGTCGTTTTCCTATTTGGCTGATCAATACCACGAAATCATCTCTCAATATAATTGGAGATGTTCGCGATTTCCAGCACGAATCAATAGAATCACTTCCAGAAGAATCGCTTTTCGTTCTCGTCGTTCTTTTCTCAATTGCTGGTCTCCCCATCTGATTTTCGGGCGAGACGAGAAGTGCGAGTGCTCGCATCAAATCAGAGGTGGAGAACGCATCTTGAGGTTCAGGAGATTCGTTTCTTTTTTTACAGATTCCTCTTGCTTCAAGCGTCTCAGATTGCGGGGCTCCAGTCGTTGGGTCGGAAACGAAAGCTCGATGAAGTTCAGGAGCATTCGCTTCGAGATCAGAATTGCGCGAAGGTTGGTGGGTCACTTGAGGTATGAAGGCTTCTGACGATATGGAGGGATTGAGTTTCCTTGAAGATCTCGTTCCTGTTGTGTTGAGCGGTGAATTAGAAACGTCGAGTGGACTCATCGAATCATTGGAATGAGCAGAATGGGGAGACACAGATTTAAGAGGCATGGGAACAAAATTCGATGGAGTAACGCGCGTCTTCTCTAAATAATTATCATCTAGGAATAATCGAATACGTTGAAGTACAATTCGAAGAGCAACATCAGGAGGAGAGAGACGAATAACAGATTCCAATTCTAAGAGTTCTTGTCTCCATATCACAGAAAATGGAGAGTGGGATCCAAGAGGCGATGTCACCCATGGAGGCGTCACGTACTGAATTTTAGACCGTTTTGGTGGTTGATCGCTTTCATCATGTGGAGCTGTGGGACTTTCTGCCTGATCTTGAACTTTTGAAGTGGCATCATCTGTATTGCTGAGCAATTGAGCTGCAATACTCGAACTCTCTTGCGTGTCTCCGTTTGTTCCAAGTTGCGACCAGGAATGTGGTTGATCGGTTTGAGTTCGTCGCTGGGATTCCGAATAGCGTGGTGAACAACAGTCTTGCAACGCCTTTTCCGCACCACGATCGTTGAGAAAATTGAGTGTTTGAGACAACGCGCCTCGAGGAGTTCTTCGCGGCGAGTGTCCCAAAACGTGTTCCGAGCGGAATGTGGCACGTGTGTCGTCGCAATTCCTCAATTCAACGCTTTGATTCCAAGTATCTGTCAACGCGGCAGACGACCAACTTCTCTTCCGTCTTGATGGAATATGAGGGCGTATCAGTGGCTCGCAGTGCTGATGTCCTTCGATAGATGTTGAAGTCAAACTTTGGCGCAAAACTGGTTTATGAATATTCGATTGTTGGAGTGATAAGGTTGGGCGATAGGCGGCTTGATCTTCAGAACAACTTTCATAATCGTCATTGTCACTTAAATCGAAATTGTCATTAGAGTCACTCTCATCTTGTTCTCGTTGAATAGCTTCTTTCGAGCAAACTTTGACTTCCTCCATTACTGTTTTTCTTGGCGAGTCTTTCGTCGCGCTTGTTGCATCCTGCTCGTTTTCTAATTCTCTTTGAACGGTTGGAGACGAAAGGAATTGGGACGCAACGCGCGATTTATCAAGAGCGTCGACCTTTGTGTCTGATGATAAAGCTCTTTTTGTAATTTTTAATCTTCTCTTTGAAATCAAAGATGAACGACAAGCGTCTCTTAATATCGAGGCGACAGTGCGTGACTCTTTGAAGTTGGGATTGTATTTTAATTCCTCCCCCAGCAAATAAGGGACAGTTGGAGCGGGAAAAGGGAGACTTCGTAAATGCATCGCTCGATAAAGACTTCCACAAAGAGAAAAATATTCTGATGGGATTGTCGGACATTCAGGAGAATTAAGAAGATCCGAAAGAATTCGTTTCGTGTATTCATGTCCGGGAAATACGAGCGATGACGGATGACAATGTCTTTCTAGATGCCAGAAATTGTTGAACATTGTGGTACGATTCTCCTCAAAAGGGGCTCCACAGCCACCAAGAAACAAAGTATCGCCAGTGAAGAGACAATCAAAATTCCCCAAACAAGGAAGTTTATAAATCACTGACCCATGAGTGTGACACGGAGATTCAATGACTTCGATACAAACAGAATCCGATGAAACACCGATAGAAATTGAATCCCCATGAGAGACACGGTGAGTGCAACAATCAACAATATCACGCCAACCGCCATAAACAGAAATCCCAGGAAGCTTTTTCAGGAGTCCCTTGTTGCCCCCTTGATGGTCCCTAAGAAGAAACACGAGATTGATTGCTGATGCTCCAAACCATCAGCTTGCTTACCAATGGTGATGCGTTGTTAGAATTTTGTCAATCGCGATGGGACGTCCGCCGTAATGGGAAAAAGAGATCGTTTGAACGGCTTCAAGAACAGCTTCAGAATCTCCAGCATCAATGACAACAGCAGACAAAGCATCAGGTGATTGTGATGCTGTTGTCGATAGAACAGAAACAGGTTTAGTGGGATCAGCAGTTGCGGATTGATGTTTTGTGATGTGGGTGGTCCGGTCTTCCAAGTTGGTTGGTAACAAAGTTGCTGGAGTTCCGTAAAATGAACCTCGATTGACAAGAAGATACGCATAATTATCAGAAAGGCAAGGAATTGAGTGAATGCTAATGAATGACCCTGATGCAGTTGTGACGTCAGTGCGGCCTGAACGTGAATGGGGTTTACCGCCCGTTGACCACTTCAAAAATTTGACATGAAGGGATCCGATTCGGAGAATATAAATATGTCTAACGAAGAGTGTCAATAGAACTTGGGTACAACCAGCAAGAAGAAGTCCCAAGAGACCTGAGACGATTTTGAGAACCAAAAATGCAACAAGTGTTGGAATGAATATGAAAAGCAGCAGGAAGATGAGAAGACTTGATGCGAAGGCTTTCCATCCTAAACAACATTTTCGCTGAAATGCGATTCCTTCTCGCATTTCAATTCTAAAATTTCTTGATGGTATCTTCCTGTTTTTGAATCTCGCGAAACAGAAGTAGGAGCGTGACTGTTACGGACAGTTCTTGCGGTTTTTTAAAAGGTATTGAATAAAACAATTTTGCAATCAAACAAATTCATGTGATGGTCTTTTGCCAGCACCTCCATCGTTAGCTGAGCAACTAGGATCACTCAGCTAAGACGCATGCGGCCTTCGCTGCTTCCTCAAGATCGTCAATTATTTGACAACGAATTCCTGAATTGTCGAGAATCTCTTTCCCCTTTTCCACACGATTTCCGACCAAGCGAACAACCAGAGGAAGTTGCAGACCCGTTGCCTTCGCTGCAGCAACCAGACCCTCCGCAATCACATCGCACTTCATGATTCCTCCCTTTGAAAATATTGATAAACACTACCGAGAGGAAACTGAACTTACGAAAATATTCACAAAAATCACTTTCACTCTCGAATCACGCTGAATAATTCTGAAGGCTTCTGTCACCTAATGAATAGAAGTGGGGGAGTTAGTTGTGGGAAATGACACTCACCTGATCAACATTAGCTCCACCTCCAACATCAAGAAAGTTGGCTGGCTCTCCTCCGTGGAGTTTGACAATATCCATTGTAGCCATAGCGAGTCCGGCTCCATTCACGAGACAGCCAATTGTTCCATCCATTGTTACGAAGCTCAATCCGTGTTCTTGAGCTTCCCGTTCGCGAGGGTCAATACGACTCGTGTCTGAAATACCGCGATAGTTCAGTTGGATAAAATGCCCGACAAGTTATCAAATAGGAGATTGACTTTGTTGCACTCACCTTCCATTCCCATAATTTCTGACTGCCGAAATGCTGCATTGTCATCAAAATTGAGTTTCGCATCGATGCAAACAACTGAAAGAACTCAATATTACTGACAATAGTTATTCACTTACGATGATCAGGACACTTGTCCGTGATTGCTAGAGGATTGATCTCAACTGTAGTCGCATCTGTTTTGACAAACAAAGCAAATAATCTCGCAATCTGATCCGCGACATTCAGAGGGAATGCTTGAGTGTCAGTCGCAACTCCCAACGCTTTCGCAGCTTGAAGACACTCATCGCGTGAAATGTCTTGAGAATTTTTTAAAACGATCTGATTCAAACAAAAATGAACATTTTTTCGGCTCAACTCCTTATCACCTTCACAACCGCATCGGGATTCGTTTTCGCAACTTCCTCGATGTCCATTCCACCCTGAGAGATAAACCATTAGAAGGCCGGGAAGATTCATCGCCCACTTGTTTGCTTATCACAAGAACTGGACCACCAGCAGTCGGATCCAAGACGATCGCCAAGTAGAGCTCTTTCATTATATTAACACCCTCAAGAACAAGAACTTGTTGAACTGGCTCCCCCTCAGCAGTTGTTTGGTGCGTCACCAGTCTGTAGCCAATCATTTGCGAAGCCATTTGTTGCGCTTCTTCGGGAGTCGAGCATATTTTGACGCCTCCCTTCAGTCCAGAAGTTAATGTGCCTTTGCCGCGACCACCAGCGAGAACTTGAGACTTGACGATGATATCGTTTGCCCCAGTCTCCTTCAACTGCTTAGCGACTACAAGGAAAAAGATTCAATGTGAAATAATTGGATGGCGCACTTGTGAAAACATCTTGTGGCGTTGATGCTACACCTCCACGCTGAACATTGAGACCAAATTTTCCTAAAATTGCTTTCGATTGATATTCGTGTAAGTGCAAAGAGCGACGTTGTTGGTGCAGAAAGTGTGAAGAACGCAAAGAACGAAGAAATTGTACAAAACTCATTATTGAAATATTGAAGTATAAAACGGATTACTAGATTGAAGTTCAGTTTGATTTCGCAATGCAGAATTTGACCTCATGCAGACGCAGCCAGATGCGGTCCAGGACGCTCCAATCACTGTTTCGTCGCTTCTTTCATTCAGCGTCATCAGGAAGTGCTAGAGATCTTGTCGTTATTGGCGGGGGTTCTGGGGGTCTTGCACTTGCTAAAGAGGCATCCAAACTCGGTGCCTCAGTGACACTCTTTGATTTTGTTCGGGTACATAAGACGCAAGATTTGTGTTCCCTCATTGTCTTTTCCCCAGCCTTCTCCTCATGGGACTCGATGGGGACTTGGAGGAACTTGTGTGAATGTGGGATGCATTCCGAAGAAGTTGATGCATCGATCAGGAACACTGGGAAGAGCTTTAAGAGAAGTGAGTGAGTGTTCATCATCAATCACTCACTTAGAGAAGAATTTCAATCAGTGATCGCTTGAAAGAATTTCAATTAGTGATCGCTTGAATTGATATTGCAGGAGTGCAGCGACTATGGATGGACAACCGTTTGCCCATCTGTTGTTGATTGGCAACGTTTGTGTCAAACGATTCAAAATTATATCAAGAGATTAAATTTTGGATATCGAAATTCCTTGCGTGCTGCAAATGTTGAAGTGAGCTCTACTGCTTCAATTGTTTGGGACATGTTTCAACCATTTCAGTATATCAACGCATCTGCTTCATTTCTATCACCAACTCGAATTCGATATTTTCATAAAGAAGAAGAGAAAGTCATCGAAGCGTCGCGAATTGCAATTGCTGTTGGGGGTCGACCATCCATTCCCACCGTAGGATCCTCCTTAACGATTGATTTTCTACATTCAGATATTTCAGATTGAAGGTTCTCAGTTCTGTATAACTTCTGATGATATTTTCAGTCTAACTCATCCACCTGGTCACACTCTAGTAGTCGGAGGTTCTTACGTTGCTCTCGAAACTGCAGGATTTTTGAACGATTTGGGTGTCAGTCATTCAAATATTTGGACGCGCCTATTTTCACTCTTTCTTCAGTTTCCAGTCAAACTCTGTCTTCGCTCGATTCCACTTCGCGGGTTTGATCGTCAATGCGCTGAAATGGTTCTTGATCATTTAATTGCTGCTGGAGTTGAAGTAGTTAACGATGAACCAAGTGCCATCATTAAACAAGAAGACGGGCTTTTACTTGCACGTCTCAAAAATCAAAGTGAAATTTCGGTGAGACTCAACTCTCAATTCGTAGTTTCCACGTTCTTGTTTATAGAATCTTAATACAGTCATCATGTGCGTCGGACGAAAACCTGAATTGTCCTCGCTGAATCTTGAAGCACTTCCCCACGGCGGACCTCGTCGAACTGCTAAAGGATTTCTTGATGTTAATGAATTCGAAGAGGTACTCACGAGTCTCTCGCGTGTCATTGTCACTGTTGGTTCTCCAGACATCGTTAGAGAGTGTTTATGCTCTTGGGGATGTGATAGGACGCGCTGAACTGACTCCAGTTGCGATCAAAGCAGGGGAGTTGTTGGCGAGGTAGTTGATGTTGAATCGATAATGCGCTCCATTCCACTTCTCAGACGACTTTTTGGTGATTCGAAGCAATGGATGGACTACAGCAATGTGCCAACGACAGTTTTCACGTAAGCTCTATCGTGCTGGAATAGATTTGATTCATTTTTTTCAGTCCTATCGAATACGGGTGTGTTGGAGTTTCTCAAGAGAGAGCGGAGGAAGTGCACGGCAAGGAGAACATCGAGATTTATGTGCAAGAGGCAAGTTGTAGATTAGACACAACGAATATTTTATTTTAACGAATATTTTATTTCCATTCTTCAGTTTGATCCTATTGAATTATCGTGCGTTGAGCGTCCTTCTCATGAAAATGTTAAGATGAAGGATTCTGGAAGACTCACCTGTTTGGCTAAGCTGATTTGTTTGAAAGATTCTTCAAAACTTCGTATTATTGGAGTCCATTTTGTTGGTCCAGATGCAGGAGAAGTGATTCAAGGTCTTGCGCTTTCTGTTACACTTCGGGCTGATAAATCGGATTTGGATCGTTTGGTTGGAATTCATCCGACAAATGCAGAAGTTTTTACACAAATGGAAACGACCCTGCGATCGGGATTGCCCTATAGAGTCTCTGGTGGTTGCGGGGGAGGAAAGTGCGGCTGATTGATTTTGATTTCCACAGTTTTCTCTGTCTTGATGTTGACATTATCGGGGTAGCGCGCTTGCTGTTCATGTTGTGGAAGCGGCTTTTGCTTCGTCACCCAGATAAGAGGTGTTAGGCATACCAGCTTTAGCAGAGGATAGCAGACACTTTTCACTCTGATTTTTCAGATGAATGAGTTACCGACGAGCAATACTGGAGATTAAAACAAATTTTAAGATGTTTGATTATGAAAAACCTCAACTTTAATCAGGGCAGCATCTGAACTGAAGGGAGCTTTTGAATTTTCTTCATCTTGAAAACTTACCTTTCATTAATCAACGCGTACGTTCCATTGTGATCGATTTCAAATACATCATCTGATAAAACTCGAATTAATGGGAATCATTTGGGACATTGTACTTACGATCCTTCAATGGCTTTCGTGGTCCACCATCAAATGATGCATAGAGTCCTTTCGCAGGAGCGACCATCACGACTCCAAGCTGATTGGTTGACATGTATAAAAACTCGTCTGAACAAACACTCACCATCGATCCTGCAAGTGATTTATGGGGTCCGTATGTGGTTTTTGGTTCGACTTGGATTTGGGCTGATGACCCCCAATCGCCTCTAAGTATCGGAGCCACGTAGACGCCAGGAACGAGTTCTGCGCGGTCTTCATCAAGTAATTCTTGAATGTGAGAATCCCCAACTGCCACAGCTATGAGAAGATGAGAGACTAATGAGAACCACCAACTGACTTTTTTGTCGCTTTGTACCCATTTATACGAAAGTCTTTATAAAATCACATTTCTCTTTGATTTGCTCGACATGCAGTTCTTTGCAGATTTTCCTGACTCTCTCTATTTGGGGATGCCGGCACGTCAACGATTTCTGTTTTGGGGCTCTGCAAAGGTTTTAGTTTTCGTGATTGGAATCATTTTGCATGGAGCGTCCGCTTCAGTGGACAGATTCTTCCAGATTTCAAACCAAATTGTTGAAGTGGACCGACATTGTTGGATTTACAACATGGAGGATCCTTCTCATAATGCTGCTCTTCCCTCAATTGAATTTCAATGTCAACAGAAGGAGACGGAAGGGATCAACTTGTTCTCATTCACAACAATTGATTCTTCTTCAACACTTTCATCTAAGAGGGACGAGCAAAGTGTATCAATACAGATATCCGTTAACAATGGAGCAGAACGTCCCAATTCGACAGTCGCGGTCTTTTGCACGACAGGGGGATCATCGCCAATTAATATGCCCACTCCATGTTTCCAACTCAACATTGTCATTCTCGTTCCGCTTGTGCCTCATCCGGCCCCAAATTTGCATCTTCAAGTTCTTGAGAGTTTTCCCACACTCCAACTCGAATGTCTTCCAACTCCCATCACTCGAATATCTCATCCAACAGACTCTTCCTTCTATCTGGCTCTTCAGTGCTCCCATCCGTGTTTTCTTTGGTTCTCTTTTTCTCAATCAATTCCAAAACTGAAATCCAAACATCGGTTCGGCGGAATTCAATCAAGTGAATTTCTTCGCATATTTCCTTCTCAGTCCCAAACCAACTCACGTATCGATGTCTTCGTCGGGACAGTTGATGGATTATCTGTCCGACAATACGTTCTAGTGTTCGACTGGAATCACGCAGCTGAAAACCCCGATCATCATCATCATCATCTATTGGAGTCCTTGGAAGTTGTCCATCGTGTTCGATCTCTGGGCAGTCTTTATCCTCCTTTCAAGCCTCATCGCTTTGTTTATTATTATTGGGTCGAACGAGATCGATTTCTTCAAGGGTCTATTCTGGCTCGACTATCATTCGCATTGCAGAACAGTCAGCGCACGCATTGTCGCACTCATTCAACGGACAGAGAGGTCCAAGCGATCATTGAACGTCCCAAGATGGGCCGAAGAATGGAAGATGAATCAAAAATCGATGGTATTCGAATCGTCGACTTCAGAGAAATGTCCAAGAGGTTTGAAGTGATGATTTCAAAAACTTCTAATTTTGACAGACAGACAGCTTTGATAGTCTTAGAATGTTCCCAATCGGATAACACAACTGATGACGATCCAACTCGATATCTTATTCATCTACTTCCATTCGATTTGTCGCAAGGATCTCATGATGACCGACTTATGATTGACGTTCTTGGAATGGATGAGCCAAAGTCTTTCATTCTTGATCTATCACCAGAGTGAGTTCCACGCGTCTTCATCTTATCCAACACAACATTCCTCTTTGATAGGTTTGTTTCTCCTATTGATTTCATTCTTCCCTTCCACGCAAGTCATCAAGACACTTGGATCACATTCAAAACAAACCGCAAAATCTCCAACATCGATATTGATGGTATGGAAACTGAATTTCGCTCTTTGGTTTCTTCATTTGAGTTTTTTGGATTCAGGATTTCCAATCGATGAACAATTGGGTCTTTCTCCTGCTTTTCGAATCTCACCAGAAGAATCAATTCAAGGACGCGCATTCCGACTTTCATTCAGAACACATCGAACCTTCATAAGACAGGAATTGATTATTCGTTTCAAAGGGTGAGATGCATCAGCAAATGACATTCAAGCGTCACTGGAACAATTCAGTGTCCACTGCTGTTCGGATTCCTTCAGACAACAAGAATTTCATCCTTCGTATTCCTTGAATGATTCTCTTCTTCCTGGTGCAGCTCTTCTCATGACAGCTTCAGCACTCATCCTTCCCGCAATCTATCCTGATGCGTATCTCGCTGACTCCATCCGAGCTCTACAAGTGAGTCAATTTGCCCATCTGATACTCACAGCTGTTCTTTATTCTAGCTGCTAGTTGCATTGACCCTTTTTCTTGATCCTTTCACCCCAATTCACTTCAATTCGGGGTCTCTAGTTCTCGGGATACTTCCCTCAAACCTTCAACCACCAGATCAGTTTCAGTTCCCTGAATTCCGACCAGTCAAGCCGCGTGGAGATGCTTTCATTGAAATTGTCCGCAGTAAGCCCCCGCGCTCGTCTTACACCGAATGGAGTCTTCTTCCATTTTAGAAAGACTAAGAATTTTAGAAATCCCCTTCGGTGCCATTTCTGTATCGCACAATGCAACAATTGATGTAGTTTTGGGGTCTAAGAATGTAAGTTCGACGCTGCTTCGATCTTTGGCATTGCTGCTGCGTTTTCAGATGAGCAGGATTTCTCATTGGGCTACCCGTATTTCAGCTTCGATTGCTGGTGTTGTCATCCTTGCTATCGCTCTGCTTGCGTATTCCTTAACACTTCTTTGCCTTCATTTCTATCGAAAGCCCTGGCGCCAATCTCCCACCCCTCATTCCATCAACTTGCAGCCCAAAGATGATTCTGATGTTGAGATCATGACAAGCGGGAGAGACAGTAGTCGCACCATATTGACTCCGAGACGATGCACTTCTTCTCGTTTAAGAGAACCACTGACAACTCCGATTGAGTCACTCTCTATCGTTCCAGACTTTCTTGCTTTCGTGGATCTCTTGTACATTCCTTTGCTATTTCACGGGTTTGTTTTCATTTTTGTTTGTACATTCATGGGTTTTGATAATTCTCAATTCTTTTTTTCCAATTTTTTACCGCATTTTCTACAGTATCGATTTCCTCTCGTTTCATGTTCTCTCCGTTCCGTCGCCCTTCCGTTGGGAATTTTTTGCGTCTCTCTGGCTTTCTTTTTTTTTGTGATCACATCTGGACGTCTTGTCTCTTTATTCAAGTAAGCCAAATAACATTTAAACTTCAGATAACATTTAAATCCTTCATCTTCTTGCTCAGATCATCAATTGTATTCTCCAAGTCACTTCAACGGTTTCATTTCGAACACTGCTCATCACTCTCCGCAGTTACCTATTCCTCCATGCCATGGAATTTGCTTCCGTTATGGAGCCGGTTTTGCTCTCGGTAGGAAGCCAGGTGAACAGCAGGTAATACGTTTTGCTCACTTTTCAGTCGTTTGCATGAAGCTTGTCCCATTCTGCATCCAATGAGTGACGGACAGCTCAAAGGCTTTGTCTTCGCCGCAGAAACGCTTCAAGCAACCCCGTCCCTTGAATCTCCAATCCGTCGTGAACCTCAAGAGAACACCTCCGGCTACGAATCCCCGACTGTTGCCAATGAGGTTCCAACTGAGCTTCAGAGATTGTTATCATTCCCGATCCAGTCTGCTACTACGTTTTGGGACGCCCCAGATTTTCCATGCGATTTCACGATAATTCCACCCATCTGTACATTGGCCATCGATTTAAGGGAATTTCTTGCAAGTGGGAGAGAAGATCAGTTATGGATTTCACTCAGCAGAACGTCCTTTTTATTGGAACCTGTTCGGGCTTCATGTCTTGGACATTTTTCTGCAAATTTTGTTTTCGAAAGCGAAAATAACCAAGCGAGAAACATCAAAGTCAACCTCCGCCTTCAATATCAACACTTAATGATTTTCAGTCAAATTCTGGATCAAATTGTTTTAAATGCAAATGTGAACAATCTTGATTTTCATCAAAGTGGTATCAAACAAAGGAGCCTCAATTGTGAAAGTCTCTACCGACGCTCTCCACGGGGATTGTTTAGCCTGTTTCTTATTGAACGTCTTCTCTTCTTTTGCCTTCTGACTTTTTGGGCATCGAGCGTGGCTTTTGATTTTCTCCAGACAGGTAGGGCACACTATAATCCGATTTTATGTTACAATACTGTTTTGCCCAAGAATTCAGATTCACTGCGATCATCTTGGCCCTTAGCGTTGCACTTCTACAAATTCCATCCCATCTCCTCACTGCAAAGTCCCAAGCATTTCGTGCACTTCAGCAACGTCTTCGTCAACAGCGTCAGGTTAGTTTTTCTGGTTTTCTTCGTCGTGACTCTCTCCATTCTTCTCTCAGGATGCTGCCATCACTTTCCGACAGTTGGGCCCTCCAATCACAAAATCCTATTTGTGGCCTTTTCAAGATTCGCAACTTCGTTTTCAGGTACTAGTCTTCAATTTAATAATGTTTCTTCTTCTTCATATTTTCCC